GGAGCCCGATGCGGGGCTCGATCCCAGGACCCTGGGATCATGACCTGAGCTGAAGGCAGACGCTTAACGACTGAGCCACCCAGGCGCCCCTATCATGCATTCTTATAAGTTGAAAATTTATAACAAGTCGATTCTATAAACAGGTGGCTAGGAGAACCAAAAAAACCTAAACCAAAAAGCAACCTCTAATTTTCCCTGTCTCTGCTCTGACTACCAAAGAGCAATTAAATATCTGGAATATGCAGCAGGGAAGTATGAGCTTAGAGAGACCATAAATTTGAACATTAGTTCCTCAATAATCACCAATAACACACAAGGCACGAAGTATAACAAAGGTCAGGGTGGTGCCCTAGACACCTGTTCACACAACCACTGATGAAGTCCCTCTATAGTAGTGCTTCTGAAGGAGGAACCAGGTCCTTAAAAATTTTATGAATAAAAACAAAAGAAACCTTGACCCTATCTCCTCCCTTCTGCTGCCCCTCTGGTGGAGAGCTCAGCGGTCCTCAAATAGAAAAGAAGAATCAAGGGAGCCCTCTGCAGAGAGCTCCAGAACTTCCACCGCAGAAAGGGCTGGAAGGCAGCAGTTGCTTGGGATAAGGGGTATGTAGGGGACAGCATGGGAGGGGCAGAGACTTCACCCTGAAGCTGTATTTGCATAGCCAGCACATGGTTTTAAATCAGACTGCATGTTTATTAGGGCTGACTGCATCTTGGTGAAGATTTCGGCAGCGGGGTCTAAGTTAAGGTGCCAAGCTTTCCCTAAACGAATTCTGATAACAGAGTCTACTTTTGTGCTGTTATCTACAAACATTTTGGGAAAATGAGGCCCAAAACACAACTCTTCACTCTGGGCAGACAGAATGGCTTTCACCGTGGCCCTGAGTTGGTGCTCCTGCTGCTCACCAGGGCGCAGTGGGCCGGCTCTCAAGCCGGGTGGCAAATACTTCAGGAAACCAGCTGGGCCAGAGTCACTCATGGCAAGAGAGAACCAACAATCCCCTAAACGTGCTTAGGGATAAGCAGGCCAGGGATGGATCTGAAGTCACCTATAGAAGGTGGGACCTGGAAATTAACTTTAAGTTGCAGGTCCCAGTGGAGGCTGGTAATTCAGGTCAGAACCACCCCTGTGTCCTAGGCACATGTCATCCCTGGTTCACAACCAGCCTCCACCTGCTGTTTGTGTCTTGGGCAACTGGCAACTCTCAGCTCTGCTTCAAAGGTTTACCTCTAAAGCAGTATCATGTTATCTAAGACATATGAGAAGGGACTAAGTATTTCCACGAGAAAAACAGGGGAGACTAGGAATGTTCAAGTTGCTTCTATATAGGAAAAATGATTAAAAATAATATTTGCAGAGTAGGATGACTGGGGATTTGAGGCTGATGGTTGTCACACTTGTCCTGTGCTTTTGTGTACCTTTTTTGGTTTTCCTTCATTTTCTCTGTTAAGCATTTATCATTATTATTTTCAATTAAGACAAGATGTTTTTATTCCTTTTTAATTATGTAAGTATCCAAATCTTTCAAGACTCATGAAAGAAGGTGCTCAAAATATTTATTATTTTTAATATTTGATAAGAAATGCTCTTTTAAAAAATCCATACGAAAGCTGACAACATGACTTTGTGTCTTCTCTGCAAACACTCCAAATAAAAAGCTGGCAGTTTTGACTTCAGGGGTCCCCTCCCAACCTCCACAATCTATACAGGAAAAAACTGAAGCCCGGGGAGAACAAAAGCTTGGCTGGGCCGAACACAGAGATGGACACTGAACCGAGGTCCAGGGGATACCCCACTGCCCCACACTGTTCTGCTTCTCATGAGCACTTTCTAGTCCATAGGCTGGTGCTCAGGGCCCATCAGTGTCAGAGAAACTCATTCCCTCTCCATCTAATCACACTGATTTGGTCAACAAAGGCATTGGGAGGCCAAAGAACTAAAAAGGAATGGTGATGGATGGATGGATGGATGGATGGATGGATGGATGGATGGATGGATGGAGACACAGATGAAAAGAAATAAAAAATTTAGAAGGAAATGTTCCTTAACCACAGTTCTAATTAAATGATGGAATTATGGATGGTTTTATTTTCTTATTATACATTTTTATATTTTCCAAATTTCTTTGAAAAAAGTGTGTAATTAAAAAATTAAGAAATGTAATATTTTTTTTAAAAGATTTTATTTATTTATGTGAGAGAGAATGAGAGAGAGAGAGCACATGAGAGGGGGGAGGGTCAGAGGGAGAAGCAGACCCCCTGCTGAGCAAGGAACCCGATATGGGACTCCTTCCGGGGACTACAGGATCATGACCTGAGCCGAAGGCAGTCGCTTAACCAACTGAGCCACCCAGGCGCCCTATACACTCTTTAAATACTCAGAAAATTAGCCTGTTATCTAGGATATGAAGGGCAATCATTTTTGCTAGGTTTCTCATTGGACTTTGGTGTTTTTGCCAGTACACATCTTTCATTTCAGTGTAGTCAAAGTTATGAAACTTTTCTTTTGCGGTTTTGGGATTTCATGTCAGAGTAACAAAAAGCCTTCCCCATCTCAAGAGTATAAAAGAACTCACACAGGTTTTCTTCTGGCACTTTTAAATATTATCTTCAGAATTTAAGTCTTTGATCTCTTTGGAATTCATCCAGATATTAGTCTGTCATGACAGCATATAAGTTGTCCCCTCAGCATATACTGACTTGTCCATTTCCCTCCCTTTATTTGAGTTGCTACATTTATCATATATTGGTGTACATTTCTGGGCTTTTTTCATGGATGCTTATTTATGTGTCAATATGATACTGTCCTAATCTTTGAGGCTCTCTCAGTTTCTTGTACTATTAATAGAGCTAGTCTTCCTCATTGCATTTTTTTTCCAGAATTTCCTCAACTCTTCATATTTATTTTCAGTATACTTTGGAATCATCTAGTCCAGTTGTAGAAACAACATAAAATCTGTTGGTATTTTTATGGGGTTACATTACATTCATACATTAACCTGAATAGTACTGACGTCTTACAAAGTTGGCGCTTCCTGTCTAAGCACATGGTATGTCTTTCCTCTTGGTACAGTTTACTCCTAGATATTTGGTAGTTTTCTGTTGCTCTTATTTCTTCTTACCAGTTGTTTTTCGTATACTGAAATCTATTTGTTTGTATCTATTAATTTTTTTACCCTGCTACCTTACCAAATTGTTTTTTATAGTTTTTTATTTTTCACTGGTTCACTTGTGGGTATATAATCATATAGTTTGTAACAGTGACAGTTTTACATCTACCTGTCCAGTTTTTATACCTCTAAATTCATTTCTCTTGCTTAATTCCATTGGCTAGTCTCTCAGGTACAATCGTAAATCATAACGATGATAGCTGGCTTCATCGTCTTATCCCTGACTGTGGAGGGAATGCTTTGAATGTAAAGATTATTCTTGCCACAAAAACATCCCTTTAAATAATAAACTTAATTCTGTGATAAAATTCCCTCAGTTCATTTAAAATATGATTCCACTCGCAAAGAACATCATAAACTCAAATATGTTCAGGCACCAGCCACTCAGAGGGAGTACTAAGCCCTACCACCCCTCCATATTTCCAAGTCACTGAGATATTCACTTACTGACAATTCCTGGGTGAGCTGTCGAATCTTCTGTCTCATTTCGTCATAGTCTCCATACATTCGCTTCCTTACTTTTTCCAAAGTGGCTCTCACCTGCAGCCCATAAAGATGCTAGTTAGAGATCAAGCTATAACATTTTCATGTGAGGTTTGCTGAAACCCAAATGACAGGAGGGCCCCACAAAAAAAACAATTTTAAGAACATGACAGTTTGGGGGACGCCTGGGTGGCTCAGTCAGTTAAGCGTCTGCCTTC